ATTCGATAACTATTTCAAGAATGAATGAATGAATGAATGAATGAATGAATGAATGAATGAATGAATGAATGCTTAGTAAGTGTAAGTCCAATAGCATAGCAAGATTTAAAGAACACTTTCTAGCTAGTCTAAGAGATATTACAAGGCAGTATATAATTAATTGCTGAATGAATCAGACACCAGTAATTGCTATAGGAATCGGAGGAGGTGTCTTATACATCTTCTACAGCTTTGTATATCCCCCAGAGCACCCCACGTGGTGACTTACTCATGGTGGAATTTCAGTAAATGATCTGTGAATGAATAATCACTGCTTTTGAATCAAGCGATGATGGGTGATTGAAGAACAAGCAGTGTAAGTGCTGAATTATGATGGATGAGTAGTTTCATGCTTAAACACCCATCACCAGCCCCACATATTCGAGTCAGTAAGCTTTTGCTACATGTGGGGACCACTGGATTGGCAATTGCTTGGGGATGGGGAGGACACAAGAAAAGGTATATTTATTTGGGGAGTGCTGACTTAAACCCAGGAAACATTACATATACAACAGAGAACGGGCATAACAGTGTACAAAAAGAGAACTGTACAGAATGTGACCAATTGTGCAAATGTTCCACTGGCAAAAGAGCAATGGACAGTGAGAGGAGAGGAGACTCTGTTTTGGTGGAGTCTTTGGAAAAATATAATTGTGGGAAGAGCATGTAGGGCAACTAACTATTTATTGAGCATCTACTATGTGCCCAGAACTCCGGCAGGTAGTAGGAAATAATCATGATCAATGGCTTTAGGTGATAAAAGTCTACTAACAGTAGGTATGGAAAAAAGGAATAGGAGATAAAGTAACTAATTAGAGGAAAAGAAGTGTAGCTTCAAAGATCCTTGGAATCTGATGACCTCAGGCTCAGAATCAGGACTCAGGAGCACCGTCAAAATCAAGGCTGTTCCTTTAAACTGGGGAGTGGAAAACATTGATATATCTTATTTCATCAGTTTTTCCATCTAGATTAATGACCTCATTCCCTATTACCAAAAAGGTTGGGGGAAAATGCCAGTGAAAGGAACTGCACCCCCCCAGCTGTACAGCCTCTTTTTTATAGTACTAATAAGAATTGGTTATAGAGCCTATGAGCAATAAATGATCCAGAAAAACCACAATTTCAATCTTTTATTCTCATTCTTGATAAGCATGATCATCAAAAGTCTTGGTGTATAGATGATAACATATCTTCTGATTTCCATCTCTCAGCTGCCTTTTCTTGGAAATAATATTCCTTCTTTCTACTTTATGTTTGTCTTGCGAGTTATTTACTTCTGGGATGAGCAGTCCTTCTGTTACTATTACCACCTTTCACCTCTACCTTTTCTGTTCTAGCTGAAATGTTCTAGGGACCAAAGAACTTTATCATCGGCCTGAGTTCTTTAGGAAACAATCACTTAAAACATTTGGTTCTTAGACTGAAGAGTATTAATTTCTTTGTTTGGTTCCCATTTCACTGTTCCTCACACAGTTTTAAAAACAGATCAGTTACAACAATGATACAAGGCAAGGAACAGCAGCTGTCACATAATAAGATTCCTTACCCATCAGGTGGTGACTCCAGTAAGGCTGCCTCCCTGCTTCTCCATGCCTTCAACTTGGACTTACAGAGTTGAAGGGGCCCTGAGCGTTATTGAACAAAAAACTCATAGATGATGAAACAGACTAGGGTAGTCAGGTTATGTGAACTCCAGGTTTCTTGACTTCCAAAGCAATGTTCTCTCCCCATCATGCTCTTACTGCATAGCTAGCTAAGACATTTTCTACTACGTTTTCGTGGGTTAAATCGGCTTTCCCGGGCTAGCCTGGGAACCTCCTTTTTATTACAGCTTCTCCAAGAACACGAATTCTGAGCTGTGCCTCAGAATTCAGAACACATCTTTCAACCTCCTACTGGTGAACACATTAGGAATGTGTTCATTCCTGGCCGTTAGGAATGAATGAGGAAGGCCACGTTATAATCTTAATAACTCACTTGGAAATAAACAGAACACAATTTATTTATAAAACTGAAGGAAATATTTATACAGGCAGATTCCTCAAAATTGAGGATTGTTAGGATGAATCTTTTAGAGTTATCCAAAATAGCCACTTGTCTTTCTGAGAAATAAATCTGTTACTAATGCTTCCTCAGCCAACCAGCTGCAGAACCACACATTCTTCTGTGAAAGGGCTGCAGAAAGCCAGCCTGCTTCCCGGGGGAGGGATGTAAACACCCCAGCTATTGCAGCGATACAGGACAGACCAGGACCTCTCCTTTTTAATAACAAAGCAAAATAAAGGGGTGGGGACAAGGGTAGATAATTTAAATTGACTTGGAAAAGTGCTCATGGAGGTCATTTACATAGTATCACTTTGCCTAATTATGACAAAGCACTGGGGATTACTCACATCATTAAATATGTCGAGTTAAATTATTTGATTGCAACACGAACCTCCTGTTCATAGTCTCTCAGTCTTCATACTTTGTTGCTTATATAATCGGGTTATGAGCTCCCAGATTTTAATATAAGATAAAGGAACAGTGCTCGTCTAGAAACTGGAAGACAATGTACCTTGTACAGTTAGAGGCAAAGGCAATGGCAGTGAATATAACTAATAATTTCACTTTCCATTGCACCAGCTTGTAAAATCTTGGGGCAGGACGGTGACAGCAGAGCTGTCTCCCAAAGCATCATATGGAAAACTTTTTAATAGTCTCTTTGGACACCTTGTTACAATTTAGCTTCTGATCCTCATCTATTGAAGTCCATGGTTTTGTTACATAATGTACTCTTAAAAATGTGTACAAAAATTGGGTATGTGGAAGTTGAATAAATTTGTTATAATGGGTGGTTCTGTATCTAGAAAATGACAATTTTTTTTAACATCATCATTAGAGACATTCTTTGATAACACAGCACCAGTGTTTCATCCAATTTTTTTTCACTTTCTTCTATTACTTTTACACAAGACCAATCATTTTGGATGTTCAATGAACACCTAGTGAGGGTTTAAGACTTGCCAATTCTGATTTGACACTCCTGATCACCTCCATCCATGTCTCAAGTGTATCACATTAATGACACCCAGGTTTCTCATCAGCACTTTCGATTTTATGTTTTCCACTTAATTTCACATAAGAATAAAATGCAGTAAGATATTCCAATATTGCACAAACAATGATGTGCATACAAAGATGCTAACATTATTGACTGGCAGTAGGTTTCACCATGTTATTGATCTAAATGCTTATCAATCAGAATGTACAAAAATATAAATCTGACATCCAAACAAGGATTAGAAGTATTGAATATTTTAAAAGTGTAGCTTTTATCAAGTGTGCTGAATATGGAGACTGTCTATAAATAACAAGAAGGACAACCATACCAACATTATAATGTCTTCTCCGTTTATCACACATTACTACCCTGTTTCTCCCAAATAAGTGACAAGAAGAGTACAGGGGCCATTGCAGAGTGGCTACTATGTGCCAGGCATTGTGGTAGGTAATTTGCACAAACTGTCTCTCTCTCTCTTTAATCCCTTATCTGAGGATATGGTTTTAATTGATTTTAGAGTGAGAGAAAGAGAGAGAGAAATATCAATGTGAGAGAAATATTGATCAGTTGCCTCCCACAGACACCCGGACCAGGGATCTAACCTGCAGCCTCGGTATGTGCCCTGACTGGGAATCGAACCCGAACCCCTTCTGTGTACAGGACAACGCTCCAGCCAACTGAGCCACCTGGCCAGGTGCACAAACACTCTCTCGATGGCCATGGCCAATAGTGTACTTTATGTCAGAAAAAAACCCAGAACACCAAGATCTCAGAAACTATTAACTTCAGCATCACGCTCCTTGTTCACCGGACTAAGGAATGAGATTGAAAAAGAATCTTTAATCATTAGAAAAGAACCCAATGAAACTGTACTTAAGTGATGATTAATAGTGTGGCTTTTATACACTTGTGTGAGATGAATAATTTCCTGGAAAACCGCAAGATTTCTAATATATTTTTAAAGAAATAGGACCAATACTAAGTTTATTATGTGTTTAAACATCAAATTAAGGACCTGTGTTTTGAAGGTAGATTTATGGGTCAAGGCTCAAAATTAATGACATACTTTAGGCTCTATATTCTCTGCACAGATTTCCCAAGCCCAGTGGTTATAATCAGTGTGTAAGGAAACATAACTATTCCTGTTTTACATTCTTCCTTCCTCTTAGCAGACCCCATAGCAGAGAAAAATGTGAAGGACCCTCCTCTCTCTTTATGGCCAGAACTAAGACATATAAAAACTGCAGAGCAATAAATGGGGTCCCTGGCATCCCAAGCTTCTGGTTCCAACCATGTATAGATGTTCCTTGGCAGCATCGCTGTTTTGAAAGTATACTGAAGTATTAATGCCCAAGGTGGGGGAAAAAATACATGGTAGTTCCATACCAGGGAGATCATGGAAGAAGGAAACTTCTAGAAGGCCAATAGTCACTGATGGAATTTCTACATCTGGGCATTTCTTGAGGGAAAGGGCTTGGCTCTTTGGAGATGGAAAGTGTGGTGACCTGGAATCAGCAGGCCCAGATTCTGAACTGCCTCTTCCTCTAACAACCGAATACTTTCAGCTCCAGACTTCTGTGGAACCTCAGATTTGACTTCTGTATATAAGGGGAGTTAGGACTAATCCCTCTCTAAGGCTTTTACGTACTATTGTACGTGACCAGCCCTGGCATTTAAACACCCTCCTGAATTTGACTGAAACACCAACCTCCTGTTCACAGTCTCTCTGTCTTCATACTTTGTTATTTACGTAGTTGGGTATCCGCTCACAGGTTTAATATTTGATGAAGCAACAGTGCTGGCCTGTTCAACAGAAAAGTTAAAGAATCATTTAAAAATTAGGACATGTCTCCTTACTTGAATACTGTAAGTACTAAATCATAACCACCTGTAGAAATTATCTGGACTAACAAATAAGTAAGGCCTAACATGAGTGCATTTCAGTAAAGTCACTGTAAAGTACATTTCTAACCAATCAGGCTTCTGACATGTTAAGTTAGAGGTGAGTATCCCAATTAAGTCTTCATTCTTTTGGAAAACGAGTATATGGATCAATACACTTGGCGGTGGTGACTGAAGTCCTTAGCTTTTCACTCCTTCGTGCCTTAAGAGTATCTTCTTCAAGGAAAGCCCAAACCAGCAGGGCCACAACAGTATCAGCAGTGAGAGTGGGTCTTAAGGCCAGCAGTCACCCCAGAAAATGCAACATGAAGGCATAATTAGGCTGAAAACTGCTAGTCTCAAAGTCCTGGAGTAGGCAGGTTTTAGGACGTGGAATCAACGACCTCTGCGTGGAACAGGTGGAGGTGGATGGAAGATCTCCCTGGTCGGGGGCCTGAAATGAAAGATAAAGCGAAAGCATGACCTTGCAGATCATTATGTGAACAGGCTCTCCCACGTCAAACACCGTGAATGAGAAAGTATTTGGCTCTCCAACTTGAAAAAGCACTGTAACAGTTTGGTGATTACCAGAGGGGAAGGGAGTTGCAGGAGGTAGAGAGGGTTAAGGGGTGATAAACAGTGATGAAAGGAGACTTTGGGTGATGAACACACACCAGAACAGTATACAGACGATGTATTATAGAATTGTGCACCTGAAACCTGGGTAGTTTTATTAACCAGTGTCACTCCAATAAATTCAAATTTTAAAAAAAGAAAAGGCACTGTGATATTTATTGGAATCATTCTTGTAAGCTACTATGTTATGTGTATAATTATAATAGTTATTTTTATTTGAGATGAAAGAGTATTTAAGTTTTGTAATTACTGCATAATTTTTACAAAAGAAAGACAGCAACTATTTTAAAATGAAATTGACTGACCAGTTCTTAGGCATCCATGATTTGTTGCAAATTTGGTCTACTATACAAAGGACATGATCCTTAATTAATGAAACTAGCCGCACATAGGGACCTGTGCGTGACATACATGCTCACTGTGGCTCACAATCCTCACTGCACATTAGAATTAGTCGAGCTTTGAAAAATGCCAATCCCCAGGCTCCATCCCAGACCCATTCTATCACTATCTCGAGAGGATTGGGCTCAAGCATCTCAACTTTTTAAATAGTCTCTCTCCCCCAACCAGTTGTATTAACCAAGTCTTCTGTTTTCTGATGCTTTCACATCTGAAACTTTGCAGATTCAGGCCTGAAGAGGCTGCCCCTCGAAGGGTAAACTAATTCCTAGGGATAGCAAACGGCTTGCCACTGAGCACACCTTTCATATGCAAACCAACCAATCCAGAGCCAGAGGGGGGCGGATGCCAGGGTACTATCCACCTGCCCTAACCACCTCAGTGCCAGGTACCAAACGACTAGAGCCGGCCCCTTTGCTCCAGACCCTCTGAAATTATTCAAACTAATCAATTCTAAATCTGTTGACCCTGCCTCACTTGTTCCTTCCTGTGGAAACCACAACAAAGGTTCTTGCCCACGTTTTCCCCTCCCCCTCCTCCTGACTAAACTTGGTGCTTCCCCGTGTGTCCCCTCCTCTTGGGATCAAAGAGTATAACAAACTGTCTTTTCATTGGCAGTCATCTCCCGATCTGCTGACCTTGCCATAACTGAATAATGATAAAACCTATATTTTAAAACACCAGTGATTCAAATATGCAGCCACACAGGAGACACACTGTAGTAGGAAGGTCCCTTGAGAGAGAAATTGAGAATTTCTGGTCTGCTTATCACAACTACTTCCTCGTGGGATCACAAAGTGTGACATTCCAACTCCAAGTTTGCTTTCCCAGAAGCCCCCCTCCGTGTTATTCTGGATGGTTATTGAATAGTCCTAAATGACACTCCAGACAGACTTGGGTGAGTCTATCTACAGACAGGTTCACCGACTGCAGATGGTATTTCCACATGTGTGCTGCAAACCCAATATTCATTCTCTTGGAAGCGACTCAGTAAGTCAAGAAAGAGAGCTTTGTCAGGTGCTGTAACTGAACTGTGTTACCCTGGAGTTGCGTACTTGAGGATTAAATGAATCAATGAGTAAATATTTACTAAATGTCTCTTGAATGCAAGTTTTGTATAGGTCAAGGAAATGGAAAAAGAGGGGCTGTCTCAGGAACAAGAGAGGGAGGCAGAAGTAGGAAAGAATAACCACAGATATCCTCAGGAGGTCCTGCTGTGGCCCCTGGGAGTAGATGGTTTTATGTGGTTGTCTCTTTATCCAGAGAAAACAAATGGACAGTCTCTTTCCTTCTCCCCAGTCTGCCCTATGAATTGTGGGCTCACAGGAGAAAGCCAGAGAACAGTCAATGATACACTTCTCCATCCCTCCCTGCCTCCCTGCCTCCCTCCCTCCCTCCCTCCCTCCCTTCCTTCCTTCCTTCCTTTCTATAGTAGATAAACATTTATTTTCCATCTACTCCTGGATTTGGGATGAAATAACAGCAAGTAAAATGGGCATGTATCCCATCCTCAAGGTGCTGAGAATGTAATGGATGAGCCAGACAATAGGGAAAATCGATAAACTGTACTGAGTGTTTTGACCAGGGGAGTCATAACCTATGGGAACATATAGCAGATGTCTGAAGGACAAGTTAAACTTCTCTAAGCCTGTCAAACAGGAGTAATGATACCTACATTGGAGTATTTTGTGAGGCTTGGAAATGACTCTTGGAAAGTGGGTAGCACAGTTTCTGGTTTAGAGTAGGCACTCAAGAGGTAAAGCTAATAATTTTGTGACTATATTCAAGATCTATTCTTAGATCTTTTTCCTATGTATGCCCATGAACCTTACATTTATCTTCCACCACAAAGATCATCATGATTCCCTCCTGGCCCCTCTTCTCTCTGCTGCCCCACGCTGCAGCTGGGGTGGGTTTCAAACAAACCATCTCTAAATGTCATTCTGAGGAACAACCCCAGCTAAGCTTTGGAAGTCTCATCTCAGGGAAATGGATTTGTAATTATAGGCATCTCAGAACCATGGGAGTAAAGGCTATTAAACCAGAAACAAAGGGTCATCATCTTAGATGTCCCCAAATCCTACTCTCCCCTGGAATTCAGAGAGTAAGGAAAAACTTTCCTATTAGCTTCATTGTTACCTGTGTGAGGCAGCTCGGGGTGGCACCCTGGGGGGTCTCTCAATGGGCAGGGCAGGGGGTATTCCGTCCACTTGTGGGGGGCCTGGACTCCGACTTCTGGTAACTTCAGGGACTTCATTATCCTACAGCAAAACACATGAGAAGGAAAGGAGAAAATTACATTAAGCAACCAGCATTAGATGGACACCACCGCTATCCCAAATACCCCTCAGCCCTCCTCAGGCTCTGGCTGAAGGCTGTTCACAAACTGATCATCAACCCAGCAAAATCAGGGCAGCCTTCCATTGACTCCTGGAGCTGCTAAGAAGACAATCAGGCCCACGTTATCATTAATGGTCCTTGTTACTCAAAGCACAGCCTATGGGCCATCAAGGTCAGCGTCACCTGCAGGATCTCAGGTTCCTTCTCAGACCTACTCAATCAGAACCTGCATTTCAACAAGCTCTCAGGTCATTCTTAGGTCATATTGGAGTTTTAAAAACACTGCACTATATAACCAGATAGAGCTGGAGAAATTTTATTTTTAAACAAAAGTTCCTTTGGGGGACAATGGAATCGTGAGTGGTCTTCAGTCACAGGGTAAAACAGCCTGTGCACTGGAGGGGTGGCCCGCCCCTTTCTCAGGGAGTCTCCTGGGTGATCCCCTCCTTATGACCCCTCCCACTCGCCCCAGCCCCTGGTCCCTGGATCAGGATACAACCACAGCCAAACTGGGCCTCAACCTAAGGCAGCCAGCTACTCTCTGCTGGGAGGCCTTGTGGCTCCCAGGGGACTGTTCGCCACTATACATGCGGAGGCAGAAAAGGCCAGGAAGCTTTGAGAAAAGAGAGCAGAGATGCACAGCGAAGCAGAGACGAAAGAGCTTGTGGCCCAGAGAAACACACGCAGGTTGCACGGGCTCTGGCATGTCTTGCCACTCCTGATCCGGGCCCCAAACTGTGATCCCTGTGCCAGATTCCCTGAGACTCTCCAGCTCCTCTCATAGATGCCCCTTTGGCTTAACTAGCCTGAGTGGGTTTCTATCCCTCCCTCTCTCCCTCCCCTCCTTCCTTCTTTCCTCCTTTTATTGAGATGAAATTCCCATAACATAAATTTAACTATAAAGCCAGCAGTTCAGTGGCATTTAGTACATTCACAATATCATGCAACCACTACCTTCCTCTAACTAGTCCCAAATCATTGTTGTCACCCCAAAAGGAAACACTGTACCCGTTGAGCTGTTTCCCCTCGTTTCCCCCTCCCTCCAGCCCCTGGCAACCACCAATTTGTGTTTTGTCTCCATGGATCTACCTATTCAGGACATTTCTTATACATGGAATCCTACAATACGTGACCCTTTGTGTCTGGCTTCTTTCACCTGGATTTCTATTTCTTGCAGCGAAATGACCCCTAGGACAGGACAGATGGGAGCGGGTGTCCCGGCTCTCACCTCATTGTCCCCCTCCATCCCGCTGCTCACGCTGAGGAGGCTCCGGGTGCTGGATCGGTTACTTGCGCTGCCTGAAGGGTACAAACAAAATCAGCAGGACCTTAGATTCTCTCAGGCTAAAATACAACGCACAGCTCTAGCACTGACTTATTTTTACCAACAGAAACAATACACAAGCTGTGAATCTGGGAGTCTTCACAATGCTGCCGTTTTATGCCATTTTAATAAGGTCAGCTTTTCTTTCAGTATAAAACAAAATGGTTCACCTTTTTATTACGTATTTTGCTTTACAGCTGCCATTTACAGAGGGCATCCCACATTATGTGCTTTAAAAACAGTCGTTTAGCCCTGGTGGGTTTGGCTCAGCAGTTAGGACGTAGGCCCTCGGACTGAAGGGTCCCAGGTTCGATTCTGACCAAGGGCAGGTACCTCAGCTGCAGGTTTGATCCCTGGCCCGGGTCAGGGCATGTGCAGGAGGCAACCAATCAATGTGTTTCTCTCACATTGATGTTTCTCTCTCTCTCTCTCTCCCTTCTGCTCTTTCTGAAAAGCAATGAAAAAAAAGTATATCCTTGGGTGAAGAGTAAAGAACCAAACAAACAAAAAACCATGGTCATTTAACCCCTGTGACAATTCTCTCTGGTATTAGTGCTCTGATTTGACAGACAGGGAGGCAAAGATGCTCTATTTCTCACTTTGCAGGGCTATTTCTAAAAGCTGCAAACAAATTTTGTTGCTGAAGTTTTCTACTTAGAAATTATATCAAACATGTACATGTATCACACATGTATATACACCTTCTAATAAAGGGCCAGGCAGTTTGACACAGAACAAAATACAAAGCACCCTGAAGACAGAACCATTTCTTCTTCATCTTTATGTTTCCAGTACACACAGGGTGGTCCTCAATATTTGGTGGAGGAATGAAAGAAAAAAATGACCAAATATGTAACCCTTAAGAAACTTGGATCAGACAATCTAGAAAAAGGTCAACAATAATGAAACTTTTGTTCTCTCAAACAGAATATTAATATTCTGGAGCTTAAAATTTTAGTTATAACCAGTTAACCCACAACTGTTCTTCTGTGGTTCCCAAGAGATGACAGCTATACTCTAATAAAAATGGTGCTGTTTTCAGGGGTGACTTTGAGGGTTAAGAGGCAGGGGTGTATCCGAGCTGGCCATCCTCACTCTCCGTCCTTGCTCAATGAGCACTTGCACATTGGGCCTTGTCCTTCTGGCATGCTCCCTCTATGGATCTGGGGAAGTTTTCTCCTTTGTCCAGTTCAGGCTTCCCATGTGGTCATGTGATATGCTTTGGTCTGTTTTGACAGGTAACAGTGGCAGGAATGTTCCCTGAGAGGAGCTGGATTTCACTCCCATGTTGCCACTCACTGGCTATGTGACCTCGGGCAAAAGTTCAGAGGTTCTTGACCCAAAACCACCAATGAGCAAAAGAGTGTGTGTGTGTGTGTGCGCACGCACGCATACCCACCTGCCTGTGTACACACATGTGCATGTGCATTTTTTAATTTTTTTATTTTTTCAGAAAAGTGCATCCAGAGCATGTACCAGATCCTCCAAGGGGTTTGTGATGCAGAAAAGATTAAGAACCCTTGGGTCCGATGACATTCCTGTTCCAACATCCAGTGCCTGACATTTAAGGAACATGAGTTCTGAAATTTAGCTTGTCTCTTGCTCTTTTATGGCACTCCTAGCTGTTTTGATAACACTACAATATGAAAGAAAGGAAACTCAATCTACTCGGGTGGTGAAGTCGGCTAACACCGCCTTGGATACAGAAACAAAGTCCCCGGCTCCTGCCTGCACATCAGCGCGTATTGTCTGCTGCAATCAGACTCCTATTCAAGCCTTCAAGCCTAAAGGAAGACATTTCCTGATTAAAGCTTCAACCTATATTGTTGGAATTCTCAAATTTGAGTCCATTACTTTCTAATGTTTCTGACTTTGTGCCCTTTCTCCTCCTTAACACAGCTGAGGAAACAAAAAGAAGAAAGGTTCAAGCCTTGGCCCCGGCTCCAGTCTGCCTGAGTTCAAGTCCCAGCTCTTCCACTTATCAGCTATTTGACCAAGGGCAAGGCACTTAGCCTCCAGTCTCCTCCCACAGAGTCATTGTAATAATCAAATCAGAAATCTCTGGAAGAGAGCATGTAAATGCTCAATGTTAACTAGTATTATTACTAGGTTTTTCTATTTATAAAAGGGATAGAGTAATGATTATCATGCAACCTGGCTTTAGGGGATATGCGTGTAATGAATCTTTTGTCCCTGAAAAAAAGGTGAAACTCACAGGTTAAATGTCCCCCATTTCTTGCGCCTCCCAAAACCAAATCAGGCTCCAATGGAGATGTGCTGCGCTCATAACAGAGCATGTTTCCAAGGCTCACAGGTGCCAGGCAGCTGGAGGCAGCTGGGAAGGCACCTTCTCCCCCATCCCACCCCCACCGGTCAGCCTGCTCACTTGCTGTGCTGGAGGTGCTGTCTGTCTTCCAGTCTCCTCGTCTCAGCTCCGTCCTTGGGGGGAAGACACTTTTCCTGGGGCCACTCTCATAGACTCCAACCTCCACTTTGCTGGACAGGAGCTGTGAGTGCCGAATTGGGACGGTGATCTCCAAGGCTGGAATTAGAGGAGAAAGGGTAAGCTTCAGGCACTAGATTGCCATTTATCAAACTGCTTGTCTGCTCTCTCTCCACCTGCCTCCCTCACGTGAACCTGGAGGGTGCCTGGAAGAGAAGGGAAGGCAGGAGGAGGGGGCAAACATCATTGATCCTAATAGCAGATTATCCTGTACATCAGGCAGAATTCTAAGAGCAACCATATTTTTAGCTCCTTGCAACCCCCCAGCACCATGAAGTAAATATTACTGTCATCATTCCCAACAGAAACTAAGGCACACAGAAGTGAGGTAGCATGCCCCATTACACAGCTGGTAAGTGGGACAGCTGGGCTTTGAACCAGGCTCCAAAGTCCAGTCTCTTCACCACTTCTCACACTGCCTCTCAATCCCTTGCTAAATGATGGCTGATGGGTGGCAGGTCCACAGCTGACAACAACGGCCCAGAGAGTCATGAAAGGAGGTCCACGAAGCATGTGAAAGATTTTTCTGACTTGCAAGACTGTTGGGTGGTTTTAGACCCCACAGATTCAGAAAGACAGATTAATTTGCCCTGCAAAGCGTTGACCTGATCTCTTTATTGGCTTAGCACTGCCCAGTGGTTGGTCTTTATTCCTCCCTAGATTTCCACCCCTGAGTTCTATGCCCAGAAAACAACTCCCGCTATATGAGCAGAATAAAATATCTGTGGGTGGCGCACTAGCTTCCTCCCCAGGGAAGCGTGAAAGCCAGGTGAGCTGCCCTGAGGCAGGGTCCCTGGGAAGAGGCATAAGCTCTAGTGTACATGGGCCCTTATCTTCGAGGTACCACTTCCTCCTCCACCCCCCTTTCTATGGCATGGGTGTAGCAGGAAGTTCAGGGTGTCCAGGGAGAGAGGTGGCTCTGCTTGCCAAAACCAGAAGTCTGCCAATAAAGGTAAGGTACATGGATAGGCTAGAATAGTATGAAAGAGCTGGTGCAAAGACAGGGTAGACCAAGTGTGTGGTAAACATTCTGCGCAGACATTAAAAAGGTGCATTGTTGGCCCTGGCTGGTGGCTCAATTGGTCGGAGCACCATCCCATACACCAAAAGGTTGCAGGTTCCATCCCCGGTGAAGGCAACCCATCATTGTTTCTCTCTCACTTCAATGCCTCTCTCTTTCTCTCTCTCCCTCTCTCCCTCCCTTGTCTGTTCTCTAAAAATAAAACATATCCTTGAGTAAGGATAAAAAAAAAAGGTGCATTGTTGGTTTGTGTAGGCACAGGCTCTCCTCATTCTAGAGACTCCAGTTCCAAGTGTGGTATATGGTCTAGTACTGAACCAGCTTTCCAGGTCTCTGAGTAGCACAGGCCTTCTTCATGTCCCCCGGCTCTTGGTTACAACTGACCGGTGGAAGCACCCATCCATGCTCGGAACCCCATGGGCAGAGGCCAGCAGGGTGTACCCGCGCGTGGTGGGAGTCATGGGCTCTTAGAGTCCGAACAGCTGTCGTGCTTTTTTGCCTCCCAGCTTTGACCTCGCATGTTTTTTTTAACAACAACCTTTTAAAGGGAGGTTCCTGTTTGCTTCGCTCACTTCAATGAGGCAATATTCTCTCTCAATCAGTTCTAGGAGGATGAAAAGTAAAATACATAGGGAAAAAAGGAGTCAAAAGTTCAAAAAATCAAGCAGAGCCAGTCTGAATGTCCACAAAATCCCCAGAGTCCTTGAACAAAGGGACAATGCCAGAAATACTAGTTATCACTACTAGATCAAGTAGGACTTTCCCCAAAGTGCGTTCACATGTGTTTTTACACCTCCTTTGAACGTCACTAATTCTCCATGAAGTAAATAAGTCAGGTGTAACAACCATGGGTGAGGAAACTGAGGCACAGCGTGGTTCAAGGAATTGTCCTGGATTATAAAGTGATTCAGTGACAAAGCGGGGATCAGGACTCAGGTTTCCTGGGACCTAGCCTGCTGCTCTCGGTCCTGCCTGGGACTGGCCATAGACACACCCAGAACACAAATACTGATTGCCTTCTCTGTGGCCAGGGCGTTCAATGAGTCAGGAGCCATGCCAGCCCTGCTCTGCTTTCCTACACCATCAACGCTCTGCACCATCCCAATAAAAGCAAAACTACTCCCTAGAGCTGAAAAAAGTTATTACGAACAGATTCCTACTTTTTAATCATCCTTGGGGTGTTAACCCAAATTAAAGAAAAAGAACCGTTGTTTTTCTTTTCTAAGGCAAATGAGGCCTCTAAATGAAGAGAGGCAGTCCCTGTGTCTAGAGTGGGTTTCATTTCTGGAAAAAGTCCTTTAAGCAGAAATGTCATCCATCAGCCCTCATTCTCCTATAGATCAATGCTATCCTGTGCCAACGGTTTTCAAGTGCTTTTTGTTTTTTGTGAAGCGGAATCCTCTAGTGAAAACAGAAGCTCAGTGTAGAAAACAAATTTTTTAAAGGAGATGTGATGGTTGAAGCAGAGTAAGTGGCCCCAAACCCTGTCCCAATCCTAATCTGCTCCCGCATCTCCCAAACCACCCCCAGTCCCAACCCCCTACCCCCATAAGCATGGGGCACCTCAGTGTGAAAATCCCCAGGACAGCCAATTACCAGTTAGTATGTCACTATATATATATATAATCAAGTTTTATGGAGATAACTAATAGATCATATTTACTCAACTATAAATAATGCCTTCTCTTTGACAGGTGCTCTGAAGCCCTTGAGCCATACCGTCCAGTACAGGGTCCAACTTCCAGCTGCTGAGCTTCCTCTGGCAGCCAGATTACAAGCGCCCCTCCCCCAGCAGGCCTCAACCAAAGACACCAGCGCTGGAGTCTAAACGCCCCAGCTCTCTTACTCCTCAGCATCACCACATGCACCACCAAACTGCAGCTTTCTTGATGATGCCTATATTTAAACGCTTGAATGTTTCATTTAATCAGGGCTCCTTCTTTGAGCTCAAGTGCTCTAGTTTTAAAAAGCGCCTCACTCCTTTTACTACCTAGAGCCTATTGTCCGATCCAAGGATGGCTTGCAGATCTTGAACCAGATTCTCTGCCTTTTCTCCCTTCTCCGCCTCTAAACCAGGAAGAGAGACAAGCGTGAACTTAACTAGTGGCAGCGCACATTTAAAATCCAGTCACTCAAGCAGACATTTAGGGATGACCTCGCTGACCTTCTGCCATGGGTACAACCTCCTTACCCTTCTTCTTACAAAGAGCCAAAATCATTAACATTCACAAGGCTAGTATTATATACAAAACACTGCACTAGGTACTGTGGGACAGGCTCTAGCTGGGAGAACCAGACCTACGCAAATAAAAGACTAACTCATAAGCTACTAGATGGTGAAGATTGCGTCCTATGGGTCTCTGTATTTGGCAGGGTGCCTGGTGCTCAACAAGTATTTGTGGAATCAATGATGTCACCAAACGTTTTACTGAAATCAACCATTCCAACAAAGTTTTCTCGAGCCCCAGCAATGTACTGTGCTACACATACGTTTTTTCAGCCAAGAAAAAACGACAAGTTCTTACCCTTACAGAACTTGCAACAGATGTGGTGGGGGTGGGGGGTGGGGGGG